AAAATTATTTTCTTAATATCATGTAAAGCATATAATGGATATTTGTAGTAGAAAATAAAGTATTCTTTCAATATGTTTATTAATTTCTCATGTTCCCCTTCCATGAATTATATGATTTGTGTCTTTGTTTTGCTGTGAAACTAAGTCAAAGACTTTGGTTCCTTTTTCAGACTTTTACCAAAAATAATTTTTTAGCCCTCTAAAAAGTTTTTTTTTTTTTTAATTGTTTTAAAGAAATTGCTGGGAAACAGTTTAATACAAAGTGATTTTAGTATTTGAGTAAAGCAGTCAAATGTTAGGATAGAAGGAACCAATAAATAATACTCAGGCTCTCTTAGATCAAAAGCATATAATTATATCAGGGTTTACTGGATTTGTGCTTGTCTGTCTGTTTTGGTACTGGGGATTGAACCCAGGGCAATGAGGTATATCCTCATTCCTTTTCATTTTTATTTTTAGACAGGGTCTCACTAAGTTGATGAGGCTGACCTTGAATTTATGATCCTACTGTCTCAGCCTTCCAAGTTGTGAGATTACAGGCATGCAGCACCACTGCTGGCCCTTTACCGTTTATTTCTAGTTTCTAAATATACTGGACCTCTTAGATTCAGTACCCAGCACGGATTTTGAGAGATACAAGCATGTTCACTTTCATAGGAGTTAGCATTGATCATGGCATCTGACTCAGATTTATGTCAAGATAAACATGCTCCTATATAGGGTGCCAATTTATACAAATGCACTGCTACATGAACTAGTTCAGGTGAGGACAAATATTTGATAAACTTAACATATTTAGAATATATCTGATAACCAGAACATAGGCCAAAAAAGTTTCACGAGTCATAGGAGAGTACTTTAGACCTTTACACAGACCTGTTTACTCTTGAATGTTATACACACTTAATTTTTTTCCCTAATAAGTTGGGAGAGAGTAGTAGTTTGCATATATCAGACAAGAAGTGAATTAGTTACATATTGTTAGAGGTAGGCATGTGAATAATGCTATGTGACAGCTTATAGGTTATTAAGGTATAAAGATTAATGGAAGAACCTGAGGAAAATTCATATAGGGCCTCACACCTAATCTTAGACTTCAGTCATTAATCTGGGGTATTGCAGTGTAGAGTCAGTGCAGTTGTAAACATTTGAGTCATCAAGAAAAAGGTCTTTATTGTCATGCTTTATTTGAGGAAGTGGAAAGAAATGGAAGCTATCTACCCTATGCTCAGAAAAAAGCATATAGATAGAGGAGTGTGGGGGATTTACAAATTCATTAGAGGCTCTCCACAGATTCTGGTTTAAACCAATAATTTCAGTTTATTTTTAGGATGTTGCTGTATTCCTTGCTCTTAAAACAAATTTTTTTTTTTTTTTTCCTCTAGCATTCCTGTTTCTCATTGTTTATTGCATGAGGACTTTGTGGTAGAGCTTCAGAGTTTGTTTCCACTACAGGGCAAGAAAGAATGCAGGTAAGTATCCAAAAGGAACAGTTTTCTATTCTCCTCCAACCCAAAGAGTCTTAGCTGAGATATTTTTGGGGTTTTGTTTTTTTTAAAGTCGCCATTGAAAAATAAACAGCCTTTCTATATGTATTGAGTATCTTCAGGGCTGTTATTCCCTAACTGCTGAGCAACTCATTAATCTGAGCCAGACTTGTGGTTAATTTCTGGGTAGACAGCTCTACCATTGTTCCTTTCTAATTTGCAGGGAGCTAATAACATCAGCCCACCAACTTATTGTCATTTAGTTCTGGTAATAGAACGAGGTAATATGTAAAAAGGTCCAACAAATGGTAACTCAAATTGTAGTTTCCTTTATATGGGGATTGGGAAAGGCAGGGAATTCTGTAAAATGAAAGCTTTATTTATTGCAATGCTGGGGATTGACTCCAAGACCTAAGCTAAGCACACACTCTACCTCTGATTACACCCCCAGTCTCAGTTGAGCAGATATGTTAGTGTGGCTTCAGGAGATAAGGTTGACAAGGAAGGCAGGGGCCAGGATGTGATAGTCTTTGTATAATATTCTATATAAAATAATTATATTATTATTAACATTAAACTATTAGAATAACTATTTTTGTATTTTTAGATCTCTGCCTCTCCCACTCCAAAATAGACAATAAAGTATCAATTTCACAAGTTTTATATACATGAGTAACGCCCACACTACTGTTTCCTTAATTGATTTACATGTATAGTAAGATGCATAGAACTTGAATTCAACTGGTTGAGTTTTGAGAAATGTATATATCCACCCATAAAACTAAGCTCCAACTCAAAATATCACCCCAGTAACTACCATTTTCTTCATTCCAATTAATTCTGCCCATCTCTACTCAGCAGTCAGTTTTGGTTTTTATCACTTGAGATTTGTTTTGCGTGTTTTTGAACTTCACATCAGTTAAATTATATTTTATGTATTCTTGCATCTGACTGCTTTTACTTAACAACGTCTGTGAAATTTATCCATATTGTGTCAGTAGTTCACTTTTTATTGCTAAATTTAATTCCGTTTATGAATGTACTCTCATTTATTTTATGTACTTATTTGCTTTCTGAAAATCTTTAGTGAAATATCTGTTTAAATATTTTAAATATATTTTTAATTAAAATTTTCATTGAGTGATCTTAGATTCACTTGCAGTTTGTAAGAAATAATGTAGAGAGGTCCCCTGTAGCCTTTACCCAGTTTCCCCCAATTTGCAAAACAACCAGGATATTGACATTGATACAATGTACTGATCTTATTTGTAAAGTGAACTTTTTTTGTATATGTTTAGTTTTATATAATTTTGTACATGTGTAGTTTTATATATTCATCATATTCAGTCAGAAAACTGAATAGTTCCTTCACTACAGGATTCCTTCTGTTCTGCTTGTGTAACCATACCCTCCTTCTCTCTCCCTTACCCCCAGGAACCATAAATCTGTTCTCCATTTCTAAAATTTTGTCTTTTCAATTTTGTTACATTATAGAATAATACAGCATAACTTTTGAGATTTTTGCCTGTTTTAAAACTGTTGTTATTTGTCTTTTCACTATTGAGTAGGAGTAATTCTTTATACAAGTTTTTTGACATATTGTGGATTTTTTCCCCTCAGTCTTTGGTTTTCATTTTCTTAACTTTTTTTTTGAAGAATACAATTTTTAATTTTTATAAAGTCTAGTTTATTATTGTTTTATGATTTGTACTTTTTGTTTTCTTTCTAGAAATCTTTGCCTATGCCAAGATCACAATATCTCCAGTAGATAGATTTTCAGGGATGTAGATTTTTTTTTTCCACTTAGGTCTACAATCTGTCTCAAATTAATTTTGTGTATGTGGGTAGAGGTTCATTTACTTTTTCTTATGTTACCTAATTTTATTTTAGTGCCATATTTCCATTGAAATCACTAGCATCTTTGTAGAAAATCAATTGACCCCAAAAAATTGTCTATTTCTAAGGTTGCTAATTTGTGCCACTGATCCATTTACATATTCTTACACAATCAGGTAAATTAGTGTGAATCTTCCACCTTTATCCTTTTTCAAGATTATGTTGGCTATTCTAGGGTTTTTGTATTTGCTTATAAAATGTAGGATCAGCTTTTTAAATTTCCACAGAAAATCCTGTTGGCATTGCATTGAATTTATATAGATCAATTTTTGGAGACGAGACATCAATATGAGTTTTTCAATTCAAAATCATGGCACAGTTGTTTAAAACCTTAAAATTGTTAGATCATTTTCATCATAGTTTTTGTGCCCCCCTTTTGTTAAATTAATTCCTCATTGATTATGTTTTTCAATGCTGTTATAAGTGGGATTTTTAAAAATTTTTCTCTTTACATCATTTTCTGCTGGTACAGTGGGTCTGGTAAGCCTTTATTACATGAAATCTGGATGTACTCCTGATATTTAAAATCATTTTCATACCACGAGGGATCTGCTACAATACAGAAACACTGTCGTAGGTGGCAGAAGGGAACTGAAGGATTTCCAATTTGCATTAAAAGGATCATGGTGATTAAAATGTGAACAGAATGGAAGCAAAAGGCTGAAATAATAGTTAGTATTGAATACCTGCTACATGGCATGTTCATTAGCTCTTATCTTTCATTTCAATAGCTCTATTTTACAGGCAGAGGAGGAAATGCCACTAGAGAGGTTAGAAAAGCCATTGAGGTCCTGTGGTTTTGAAATGACTTTGCTGGGACTCGGATCCAGCTGATTGCAAACATACTTGCTTTCTCTAAGTGAAAGAAAGACATAGTCTTTTCCTTTTTTTGTGGTCTTCACAATCAGCTTCAATGCCACTGCCTCCGTTCAGGCCCATGTCTTTGCAGTTAGGCAGGAGAAAATTTGCATAGAGAATTAGAGTTGATAAGACATGTTTCCTGGTAGGGCATTTCCATCCACGCTGTCATCTGGAATAGTGAGAAAGTCGGCACCCCTGACTCTCCTGAGCTGTGAGTATTCCAAGAGAAAGTGTAGTATACTCAGTCTGGTGTTTGGCACATTATTAGTGCTCAGTGAGTAGTTGTTAAGTTGGGGTTTCTGGGAGATGATTTTATATTAAGTGGGACAGGGAGGGAAAGGTAACGTCAGTAGAGGATTTGGATGTGTTGTAATAGGTATAGCTATGGACTAATTGTGTATGAAGTAAATGTGAAGTCAGCTAGAAAAGTAAATGTGCAGCTCTGAGTGGAGAGCTAGGCTGAAGGTGGAATCTTGAGCACTTGTCATTAACAATCCTTGTGTTAGGTAGATAAGGCAAGTCTGCTAAATGTTTTCTTTTTGCCCAGATCCAGAACATTCACTAGGAGATAGGTACTGAAGCTTTAAAAAGATAATTTTGGGCTGGGCATGGTGATGTATGCCTATAATCCCAGCGGCTCTGGGGGCTGAGGCAGGAGGATTGCGGGTTCAAAGCCAGCCTCAACAAGAGTGAGGCGCTAAGCAACTCAGTGAGACCCTGTCTCTAAATAAAATACAAAATAGGGTTGGGGATACAGCTCAGTAGTTGAGTGTCCCTGAGTTCAATTCCCAGTATCCCCCCCATCTCCAAATTATTTTGGGCCAGGTGTAGTGGTACACACTTATCCCAGCAACTCCAGAGGCTTAGACAAGAGGACTTTTCTTTCAAAACCAGCCTCAGCGATTTAGTGAGGTCCTAAGCAACTAAGTGAGACCTTGTCTCAAAAAATAAAAAGGGCTGGAGATGTAGCTTAGTGGCAAAGTGCCCCTGGACTCAATTCCCAGTGCCTCCCACCCTCCCCAAAAAAGACTGAGTTGGGACAAATAAAATACAACAAATTAAAAGACAAAACAAAAAGCACCAGGTACAGGCTGAGAATTTAAGCAGAAATAAATAAGCACATAGATGATGATTTCCTTAGGAAACTGGAAGGGCATTTAGCCAGGACTTATAAGAAGGATCTTGAGGACTGTCTATCCTTCTTGCAAATTGAGTTTTCTGTTCAAGAACTTGAATGTTTTATACCCTCTGACTAATATTATGATGCTAATTATACTAGGCTTAACAAAGCCAGGAGACAGGTGCAACAAAGGAATGGAGTAAGGAGTAAATGGAGTAGGGGGTCAATCAAGGTTAAGATGCCTGTTTTTTATACCCTGTGGTGTAGCTGCATTTATATGTAGTTCTTCGATTTAAACGCCAGATGGCATCACTCGCCAGCATGTGACTAGCTCTTCGGATATGGCAAATAAGAAAAACTAGGATAGACTCTCAGAAACCCACAGGGAAGAAATCCTGCCTTGACTTATGGCATGCTCTGTTGGGCCTTGTCCTCAAGCTCCCAAGTTCAGGTTCTCTCCTTTTTATCTATCTGCTGTTCTTTTCAAACACATGGGATCAAAAGAGATGGAAATACTCCTTTGTCTACAAATAGGTAAAACATTTTAGTACTTTAAATAGCTGGTTGTAGTGGATATTCACAATATTTTACTTTTAATAATATCTTCATGTCTACAAAACTCCTGTGTTGTGAGTGATTGGGTAAAATTGAGCTGCAGAGTATCTAGCTCCAATATAATGGGTGGAGTGATGATGGAGAAGCATTTGGGCATGAGCCAGATCCTTGCAAAGGCCCTCAGGCCCTCCAACCTTGAAGAACTCCACTCATAAGGTCAGGACTTACTAGGTGCTATAGAGTATTATGTGGGGGCAAGTGAAATGTTCTTGTTTGTAAAGAATATTAGCCCCTGTGGTATTTGTATGGCAATTACTTTTTCCCAGTTGCCTGTTACATATTATTTTCCTTAGAGTATTTTTGCCACATGAAACTTTAAAACTTTTATGTGGTTAAAATTACTAAATTTTTTCCCTCTCAACTTCAGAATTTTATGTCATCTTAGAAAAGCCTTTTTCACTTTAGGGTTACAAAAACATTCATCTCTGTTTCTTCGAATACTGTGTTTTCCATTTTTGTTCTATCTAGAATTTTAGTGTAAAAGAATGAGGTAAAATCCAGCTTTATGTTTTTCTAGTGATGGAGCATATAAAGATGTGTTCTCAACCCCTAGGGGTCCTTTGACACAGTTGGGATAAACATTAGACATAGCAAGATGGGGAGCACTCCACCTGCCAGTTAGAGCACTAAATTGAATGTGTTCAGATGTGACTCTAAGATCAATAACCTGTTAAAAAGGTTACTGAGAACGTGGAAGAACTGAGACTTGAACTTGGCCTTGAGTGACCTTAAAAATGTTCAAAGGACAAAAAGTGTTATATGCAAAACAGCAATAAGTAGAAATGTGGATAATAAATAAACAAAATGATTGGCAAGAATGAGTTTATGATTTAGCTCTACATTTATTAATGCATTTAATCTTCAAATTGACCAGAAGGCATAAATGTTATTGTTTTGCTTTGTTTCCTACTTCAAGAGGAGGAAACTGCCACAGGGAATTGTCCAGTGTCTGATGGCTCAGAGCTAATTGTGTGGTAGTGCTGGGATTCCAGCCACCCGAAGAAGGTTCTGGAGCTTGAGCGACACTGCCTTGCGGAAGTGAATAGGCTTGGCAGTGCTGTGCTGGATTGGACAGTTGCTCTTAATAAGAAGGGAGGTTTTACCTTCTGGTGAGGAAATAGGATTGAAGAGGTCTGGCTTCCTCTAACTGGTTTTGTCTTCATTATTGCTAATAACCCCTGTCCTGAAAAATAATTAATACACTGCAGAAATTATACTGTTCCTTAAGTAGAATCAGTATCTGCTTTCTCTATGAGAATATATTTCTACTTTTCTACTGTCATCTTCATGGATTTACAATTTGCAGTATTAGAGATTGAACCCAGGGGTCTTCTGTCACTGAGCTGTATTCCCAGTGGCTTTTTTTTTGAGACAAGGCCACACTAAATTGCCCAGGCCAGCCTCAGACTTGCAATCCTTCTGCTTCAGCTTTGTGACTAGCTGAGATAACAGGTGTTCCTGGTAACAACAATTTTTTTATTCTAAAAATAGAGAAACCCACCCAGATAACTAATCTGGATTAATTAAATTAATTAATCAGTTTTACTTTTCTACATTACTTAAGAATGATAAGTAAAGCATTTTAGGACTATGCCCAGCACATGGATGCTCAATATGTGTTTTCTTCTTTCTCTAAGTTTTGGCCTTTCATGAAAGTCTACATGATTGGGCTTTAAAATAGATCCTGTCAATGAAATCCTTCCAGTAAAGATTCCATTGTCCATGAGGAGGGGTTTGATTAAGAATGATGTAACATCACGAAGATGAAAACTTCAATTGTAAAAAAAAAATAGATAGATAGATAGATAGATGGATGAAAACTTCAGTTGCAAAAAATATATAGAGATAGATGTATAGACAGATAATAGATGAATGAGGAAGCTCTTCATATATACATTCTTATGGAAGAATTTCCAAGGTATATCAAGTAAAAAAACAAAGATATTTAGTACAGATTGCATGTACCTTTTTTGAAATGATTAGGATCAGAGAGGTGTTTTCAGTCTTCAAATTTTTTCAGATGTTTGAGTATTTACATGTACATATGAGCTATTTTGGGAATAGAACCCAAATCTAAACATAATTGGTTTTATGTAACCTATTCACATGGCCTAAAGGTAATTTTATATACTTTTAAAACAATTTTAATATTTAAATGTAATAATTTCAAAAATAATTTTAATAATTTTGGCTTGACTATGGACTTGAAAATCTTTGGAAAGGTGAATAGAAAGATAAGAATGGTTACATATTGGGAGGGAGGTGAATAGGGTAAATAGAGTATGGAGGAAGCTTTTCTCTACTTTTTTATTCCTTTGATTGAGTATATTACCTATTTAAACAAGTATGTACTTTTAAACCTCTGATTCATAGTTTTTAGGAATCATTTTGGTTAATGAAAAAAAATCAGTTGGTTCAATTTTATTTATTAATTCTTAACCATTATGTACAAAAGACAAAGTACAGTTGGGACTACTGAAAAAATACATTATAATTTGTCAAAGGAATCAGGTCCTGTGGTTGTTCCTAGTGTCAAGATTATGCACATTCTATTCCCCCATGATTTAGTTTTATATGTGCCTTTGTTTGTACTTTCTGTGAGTTGATAATTGGATCTAGAAGTTTGATCCCATTCGGGTTTGTTTTTAGTTTGTTAGGCTTATTGTTTTGTTTTTGTTTTTGCAGCATCCATTTTTAAGTGGTATTGTGGCCTCCCTTCCAGCACATACAATGTCTGGTTATCTTTTTCTGATTTTAGCAGCCATTGATGATCAGTGTCTCCTTTTCAGTCATTTTTTTCTTTTTTTTTAAATGAGGTAGCTTTTTTTAAAAAAAATGGCTTTATTTTATTCACTTACTTTTTTAATGTGGTCTTGAGGATTGAACCCAGGGCCTCACATGTGCTAGGCACACACTCTACCACTGATCCACAACCCCAGCCTCCTTTCAGTCATTCTTGATAGAGTAAAAAGAACAAACCTGTTTGCTGTCTCCAGTTACCAGGTCATCTTTGCCTTCCTAGTTCTTTAAAATATCCTGTGCTTTTTATGTGTATGTTAGAGTTGGGTTCAAATGATCTCCCAAAGCCAGGATCAAATAGTTCCCAGATGTTTTCTTGGATTAAAAATAAACTCACCTCTTATTTTAAGGATTTTCATAGTTGTAATTATTTATATTTTATATTTCATTAGGTTATTCTTCCGATGCACGAGAAGCAAGGCAGAGGGAAAACACTGGTGTGGAAGTGTTCCCTGGCAGGTGGGGATTATTTATGTTTTCCAACCTCATATGTTAAGCCTGTTTAACACATGGTGTTGATTGAAAAGACCCTGAAGCCTTATTGACTGGTGGCTTGTCATCAAACCATCTCTGAAAAACTTTCAACAAGGTAGAGCCGGAGGGACTGTTATTTCAAAGTACCATTGTTACATTCAAAATTTAATTATTTACCTCTTCTTTCACTTAAATATTTTTCAGGGTTTTTAAATACAGCTAATATTCTATTTAGAAAAAAATTAGATTTTCTTGGCTAACTTCCCTGTTTTCTTACAGATTACTACCTACTTGATATTGGTGTTGGCTAAGTATAGGTGTATAGATAGATAAATAGGTAGATAAAACTAGGAGATAAAACTAGGAGACTGTTCTACAGATATCTGATGCATAGGGAACTAGATCTAGGGAGGCAATGAGACTTGTTTTAGCAGAGATATAGCTTAAATGTATGATTCTGGATTCTTCTAGTGAAACCTTCGGAAAGCCAAAATCAAAGTGAGCATAGTAGGACAGTGTTTAGATTGGGGAAAAGTTCATCTTGAGAGATTGGGTTTTACTGAAAAGTATACATTGTGACTACTATGATTGTAAAAGCACTTTGGTATAGTCAGGACCTGGAAAAGTATGATTATGAACAGAGAAGGAACATGCATTGAAAGTTAAGAAACTATTCTATGTCAGTTTGGCATCTATTATTTTTTAGATGCAGAAGTGTTTAGAAATATTTGACTGCTTTTACTGTTACAATTTCCATTTCCTCTAGGAAAAAAGGCCACCTAGATAAGAGGGTTGCATTAATATTTTATATTATGATTAATTATTTTCATTGTCCTTAGGATCCTAATTCTAAAGAATATCCTGTAACCAATAAATCTCAGCCCACATCTGAGCCATTTCCTCATCCTTCCAGTCAGCCAAGAAACCCATTCAAGGTTCTTGACAAGAATCAAAACCCAGCTCTCTGGAAACAGTTTGTCAAAGGGGGAGGGGAGGAAAATATGGCTGCTAAGAAGTCAAGGGAAAAAGGAGACCAGTCCATGTATCAAAAGCCTGACTCTAACTGCTCGATGGAGAAAGAGTTCTCATCTAGTCTGGTAATAAAGAAAAAGCAATCTGGAATTCAAGAGGAGGAGCAAGAAGAGACAACAGAGGAAACTAAAGGAATTACATCCAGACAGCACCCAGGGAATGGGCCGAGAGGACCATCTGTATCTCCTCAGGAGAAGTCAGATGGTGAGAGTAAAAATATTCAAAACAAATCAGAATCTCCAAGAGAAAAGGAAACCCAGTTTTTGCCTCAGAAGATACATGGTCAGAACCAAGTAAGCCAGCCTCAAAAAGGGGATCACCTCGGCAAGGAGCACCTCAAGAACTTGGAAGCTAAAGAAGCAAAGGCAAAGGATGGCCCAAGTACGCAGACCTTCCAGAAAAGGCTGCCCCAGGAGCATTTCCAGGCACCCTCTGGGACCCAGGGACCTGCTCCTAAAGGACAAGCAGCACCAGGGCTTTCCCTGGGCGAGGGGTGCCCTGCTGCCTCCAGCAGTAGTGAAAGTGAGGAAGATGACGTTTCCTGCATTCCAGGAAGCCCTCTACTCTTTGACTCGACTATGGACTCACCGAAGTCAGAGAACCTTCAACTCCCTGTTCAAAGTGTGCAAAGAAAAACATCTGCTTCCTTGAACGTTTCCAAGAAGAAAGAACCCTCCGATCCAGCTGCCCAGCGTGTGTACCTTACAACACAACTGAAACAAAAGAAGGTAACTCTTGACTTGTGCTTTATTTTTAAGGTCAGAGCATCACTTGTGGTGTGCAGCTAGGAGACCCTTACTATTCAGTATATTCATTGGGAAGGTTTTTTAAGTGGATGTTAAGTTTCTGCCTTTCCTATACTTTCAGGGTTAGTAAGTGAGCTGAGCTTTGGAAAAAATCCTAGTTTTTACATGCATGCTTAAATGACCATCCTTTCAGAATTTTGGCAAGTTAGGCTTTTTAAAATCTGAAGCTACTCCTCTAACAACTTGGACAATCCATTTCATAGATCTGTTTTTCAGAGCACATTGGCAGTGGTGAACATCCAGGCTCTTCCAGACAAAGGTGAAAAGTTACTCAAGCAAATCCAGATGTTGGAGGAAGCACTCAGTACTCTTGCCCTCTCCCCAGAGCAAGGTAAATGAAGTAGGTTATACCCCAGAACCTGGGTTTTTTGTGAACCTGATATGAGACTTTTTAAAGAATGTGTTGACTTATTCACCCTCCCATCTTATTATTTGCTTCTGAGATCTCTTTTAAACAGTTCCTGTCCTTTATTAAAACTTTTTCTCTTACTTCCTGTAGACTAAACACCCGCTGTTTAAGCACTATTAAAAATACTTCATTCTTTAGGAAGCCTTCTAGCTTATTGGAACGACAGTGATCCCACTCTCTCCTCTACACATACAGTCCCTTCACTTGCTTTTCTGAACTTTAATCGATTCTTCCTTTGTTTCTTGAGCAGGAACTAGTGAGAAGAGTAACACTCAAGCACAACAGAGTACCCTCACCAAAACTACTGTGGGCCCTCCTCACGTGGTGTCTCCCCAGCCCCTTGTGGGTCATGATCTCCAGCCTCTGGACCCTTTAAGACTACAGGCAGCCTGCCAGGTAACTACTGGAGGACTCAGCCACTGCTCTGGAGGTAAGATCCCAGGGCCTGGTCCTGCAGTGAAGTGCTGCCTCTGTGAGTTAAATGCCATCAAGCAGATATCTTTGTGCCTGTGAGGAGGGACATACCATTTTTTTAAAATTGTTTTTTCTTGGTTATACATAACAGTAGAATCCAATTGTATAAAATTACACAACATGGAATATGTCTTATTCTAACCTAATTAGGACCCCATTCTTGTGGGTGGGCACAATGGTGGGATTCACTTAAGTATTTTCATATGTGTACATAGGAAAATTATGTTAGATCTATTTTACTGTCTTTCCTATTGTTAATTCTCTCTTCCTTTCATTTCCTTTTGTCTAATCTACTGAATTTCTCTTCTCTCCTTTATTGTGATTTTTCTTCCACATACCAGTGAAAACATCTGACCTTTGGTTTTTGGGAAATCATTCTTGAATTGAAAATTGCACATATATTAAAGATCATGGTGCTCAGTAGAGCTTTGCATGGTGTCACTTAGATCTTGGTGAGTCCTTGTACCAACACTGTATGCTCATCAGTCAGCCCAGTGGCTGGCAAACAGGAGTCACCCAGAGAATGCCTGTGAATGAATACTCTGGCTAACATCATCATGAGGCAGGTAGAGCAGCACATTGCATTTTTATTCTTCCTTCTGTAGGGGTGTGATTTGGGGTATGTGTGTGAAGGCAGAGCACAGGAGTGATATGACTGCAGACGGTACTTATAGACGCACAGAAAACGGTAAACACCTGGCCTCTGCCCCAACTTAACTAAGTGTTTCCCTTGTGAATAACTTTGAATTCAGAAGTAGCTGCAGAATGAAGCTTTCAGGTGAAGTCTTAACTGGGTCATCTGATGAGCTAGCTGGCCAATCAGGAGGCAGGAGCTTAGGTTGGCTGGCTCCAAGGAACGAGGAGAGCTAAAGCCAGTTTCCCCCAACAGAGAACTGCCAGAGATGTTAGGCCCTTGAAAAGCAGTATGAACAGGGGTGAAAATAGATGTAGGGCATTTGAAGTTAAGGTCACTCTAGAAGGGAAAAGAGAAACATACTTGTTCTAGTATGTTTCTTGACTGCTCAGGAGGCCCCTTGAGAGCATTTCATGTTACAGCATGATTTTGTAATGTAGTGGTGACCAGGTCACCTAGGGAAACATTATGTAAGGTTCGTTTTTTTTT